TCAGAATTCTTGATTTCTTATGCGAAATTGTTCTGTCAAAAAATGAATTGTAATATCGTCTATTCATTTGAATATTTGCTAATTTTCAGTCATCATGTCGAGTCAACATCGAATCTATCGCGATTCGAACAAGAGAATAATGAAAAAACTGGTTCGATTGACCAATTGAAATTACCTCAAGTCGCAGCAGAGACTATACGAGGTCTATTCCAGGATCATTGAATATCTATTCTCAGTTTTTTATGTTCCTTATGTTATTGACGGAGTTCTGTCTTGAATGAAATTTATTTGCAAATTACATTTATTTTGATGGAAATGTTTGTTTGTTTTTACTATTGCAAAGTAATTCTTTTTTCGTGAATGTAGGATTATTGAAATATGAACGATGGGTTGTTGTTTGCAGATGAACTGGTTCATGTGACAGCATTAGCGTATGATCCACGAATCGAGCTGCATCGTGAGGAGATTGATACTGGTCATTTTGAGTGTCCCGAACGGACGTTTGCTGTGAGTTCACGATTGATTTATAGAAGATTTTTATCAAAATTTTTGTACTTTCCACTCAATTTTCCTCAACAGGAAGGGGTTGAAATATTTATCTATCGATTGAAAACAGTGAAAAATCGACACCGTGGTGGTGTTCACATAATGATAGTTAGAAGTTGCTGATTTAGATAGCTAGTCAATTGCGTGGCTCAGGCCTTTTGCGACGTTGTCATGTGCTACCGGCACGTGAGGCCACAACAGAAGAATTGGAGCTGATCCACGATAGACCGCATGTGAAACGAATGGAACGTACCGCTCAGGTTGGATTGGATGTATTATATTTTTATATGTTGTTTTGATGAGCGATTTATTTTGGTGAGTGATGAATGTAAATTGTAGATTGACGAAGCAGAACGAAGACGAGATGAGGCGTGTTTCGATTCGATGTACTTTTGTAAGGATTCCTATAGTGCATCGTTGGCGGCTGTTGGCTCACTTCTTGAGGTAGGTGAACTGAAG